CTAAGATATTATTATATTATTATATTAGTTAGAATATAATACACAATATCGTATATAATATAATATACAATATTGTATAGAATATAACCTATAATATTGTATATAATATAATATACAATATTATATAGAATATAATCTATAATATTTTATAGAATATAATCTATAATATATTGTATAGAATATAATATATAATATTGTATAGAGCATAATATAGAATATACAGAATATAATATATAATACATTATTTTGTAATTCATTATTTTGATACACGATATTTTCAATTATTATCTTATGTATTCTTATATATATTCTATCTTAAATATTGAGTCTATTATATTATATAAAATCTTACATAGAGAATCTACATATATTATATAGAATCTTATATCAAGAATCTATTATATTATATATATAGAATTTTACATAGAGGATCTATTATATTGTATAGAATCTTACATAAAGAATCCATCATACTATATAAAATCTTACCTAGAATCTATTACACATGGTATCCCAAAAAATGTCTCGAAATCCAGAACCAGACAGTTCCCGAGATAATTCGAAGCAACTTTTTCCTCAGCGAAAATGCGATCCGCGGCCTCGTTTACGAGTTATTAACGAAAAACGCTGACCCAATAAGAGACGAGCGCGCGGTGCCCGGTTCCGCCCATCGGCTGGGCCGCCTAGCGCCAGCCAAGTGCTCGCCTCTCATTGGGCCAGCGTTTTTCCTCAATAACTCGTAAACGCAGCCTCGTAGAAAAATCTTGCAAAGGAAAAAGTTGCTCCGAACAACCTCAGCAACCCGTTCCGCGCGAGTACCATAATTTTGGGACACCCTGTACAGCTTTGCCGACCAAAGAAGTTCCACGAAGAGACGGCAAAGGAGGCTGTTGTCGTGCAAAATTCAATTAAATCGTGGCGGCGAATCGATTAACGGCGAGTCAGGTGCTTTTCGAATCTAGCGAAACTCGCTTCGAACTCCCCTCCCCCCTTTCCCCTCTCTCCGCCCATCGTGTTACAAGTACTCCTCGACTCTCCCGGTTCGAGAACTCGGCGAGTTCTACTCATTAAGACATTATCCGCCGGCCGCGTCTGAAGGCGGTTCCGTTCCGCGATATGCAATCAAGGCGCACAGGCGCGCACTTAAATTACTCGCCTTAGGGGTGGTATCGAACGATACGGGACCCGCGGCGAACTTGGATCGTTAACGCGACGCAGAACCGCGAGCTCTCCGAACTTTCCGAATTTCTCCGGTTTTGCGAGCCGGCTAACAATCTTTCCGTCGAACTCCGCCGAATGTGTTTCTTTTTTTTCAGCGTTCGTTTTTTTCCCCCGGTTTAATTGGAGGAAAGTAATATCCGCGCCGCGGTTGAACCTTTTTTTTCACCGGCGAGCGGAGAGGAGGGGGACGGCGCTCGGTTCACGCGCGTTTGGATCGATCGAAACATTTTCTGTTGTCAACATCATGTGATCGGTCGAAACGCGCTGACGTAAATTTTCGAAATTCTCGAAGTTTGTTCGCGATGCGCGAGAATTTTTATCGTGCGGTCCGGAGACTTCTAAGGGCGTTGTCATGAACGAGATCAAGACGTTTACTTGTCGATCTCTGTTCCCGAGACTCAAGAACCCCCACTTGGTACGGTACCGATTTTTCTTGGCGTTGTTTTAACCTTGATAGATTGTGTGACATTTTAATGTTTGCGATTGGTAACTCTACAATGCATCTTTTGTTTATTTTTTGTATTTATTTTTATTTATTTTTAGTCGATTATTTGGCGGGTGTTGAGAATTTTTTAGTTGTGTATTTTTGTGAAAAATGTATGTTGGGTTTCTCTCTCTCTCGCTCTTCCTCTCTCTCTCTCTCTCTCTCTCTCTCTGTTTCTCTCGATTTCTCTATTTTTTCTCTTTTTATTTCCCTCTCTTTCCCTCTCTTTCTCTCTCTCTCTCTCTCTCTCTCTCGTCCTCTCTTTTCTCTTTATCTTTGTTTCTCTCTCTTTCTCTCTCTTTTCCTCTTTATCTCTGTTTCTCTCACTTTCTCTCTCTTCTTCTCTTTATCTCTGTTTCTCCCACTTTCTCTCTCTTGTTCTCTTTATCTTTGTTTCCCTCTCTTTCTTAGTTACATATACTATAATATTATATACTATTAATTTTATCAATTGTATACACAGTGACCTAAAATTATGTTACTTCCAAGAAATGAAAGGTCTTCCGGGAGACGAAGGGTTCCCGAGGTGATTTGAAGCAACTTTTTCCTTTACAAAAATGTTCTCCGAGGCGTCGTTTACGAGTTATTAACGAAAAACACTGATCAATGATGAGCTGAGCACTCGGCTGGCGCCCCGCCCTCGCGACCACCGCCGCTACGTCAGACGGCCGGCGCGACGCGGCATTGGCCGCGAGGGCGTGGCACCGGCCGCACTCGCTTTCCGATTGGTCCATGTTTTTCGTTGATAACTCGTAAACGAAGCCTCGGAGAACATTTTTGTAAAGGAAAAAGTTGCTTCAAATCACCTCAAGAACCCTTCGTCTCCCGGAAATAACATAATTTTAGGACACTGTGTATACAATTAATAAAATTAGTATAGAACACTGTAATATAACATTATAATATATGTAATAATATGCATATAATAACAGATGACATTAATAAAATTAATAAAATTAAATAGAGTTAGAAAAATTGAAAAATTAGAAAAGTTAATAGAAAGAAGCACTACTTACGAGACTAATGTAATCGACTCGACCAATCGACGAACGAAACAAACCGCGCTTTTTAAAAATATTAAAAATAAAGTAAACATGGAAGAAACTCATCGAGACATTATGCATTCTTATAGCAAAAGAACTGAACTATTTCGAACGCGTTGCAAACAAGAATCAATTGGGTCGTTTAGTTATTTAGTTATCATGGCAGTTTTCCCCCCTTCATGGCAGTTTTCCCTAAAAATCTGATTATATAAAGATCGAATATCGAGGATAAAATCTGTTAAATAAAATATAAAATCTGTCGACCAGTGGGATCGTCGAAGAGCGGCGAGCACGGGCGAGACGAAGATATGGGAACCGATTCGATCGATCTACGAAGACTGGACAGGAGCGCGAGGCGAGCCCGGCTGGGTAGAGGTCGTGATGCCCCGGGACCCTCACACGAGAATACAGGCCCGGATGACTCGACAGCAATCGACGAGCAAGAAGGTCGTGTTTGGGGTGCGATGCAACAGGCCGCCGCCGCGGATCGTCCGGATAATGGCGGAGGACTTCCGGCGGAAGCAGATGAGAACGCATACCAAGGACTGAAGCTTGGCTGCCCGAGGAACAAACGGAACGGGAAGAAAATTACGAGGAACAGGAATCGCAGAGTCACCTTCGCCGTGTAAATTTTTTACAGAAGACGATAAAATCAACTCTCAGTCACATGAGATAAAGTCACAGAGATTGTCAATAAAGATTATTATCATCGATTGCATCGATTTATTGAAAATGTGATTGTATTAATATTTCTTCTTTTTTAAAAATTAATTTAGTTATTTTAGTGCCGCGAATTACAGTTTATGCGACGCTTCACCGGTTCGTTGTCGGTATTTTCGAACTGAATTAGCGTAAATTGTTCGACGCTATTTTTCTTTATTTCATTTCATTCCATTTTATTTTATTTTATTTTTATTTATCGAATTAATTTATCAATAATAATAGCAATTTAAATAGCAATAGTCGAGAAAATAGGAAAGAACTTTTGTTAAAAATTACTAAATTATTTATCCTTCTATACTTCCGGTAAAGACAGCGTCAAATAGAAATTACAAAAAGGTGTTTTTTAGCAGAAAAAGTCGTCGACATTTAAGATCGAAATATCGAAATATCGAGCGATCGATTCTCGACCAGTGAACATAGCGCAGAAAGAGCATTTCGCGAGTCGATGTCGACAATCGATTCGTCGCTGTTTCACTCGAGCTTCCATTGTTCCCAAAATTCGCTGTCATTTTCGTTCAAAATTATAGATCAAGTATCGTCCTAGAACCCACACACATAACTACCCACACAACCTTTTGAAAATTCCAATTGACCGTGTCAAAATTCGAAGTGGAACGTTGAACAAAATTCGTGTGACAAGATTTCATCCGAATTCAGCGTACAATGAACGGATTCAAGACTTTGGTATTGCAAGATCTCACTCATGTCTTGCCATCGAAGAGCCTCCCGATATCAGCCAAGGTAAACGCATCGTCGTCGCCGATCATTTTTCATTCGAACCAATGACAATAATTATCATATTTTTAAGAAGATGTTATTCGCCACTTTCGTCCGTCGACTCCTTAGAAATATAACCATTATTGATCGATGCCATTTTCAGGCTAAAAATAGAGATACCGTGAGTGGACGATCTCACCCCCATCACCGGGTCGGAGCGTCCACTTGCTAAGGGTGAGAGCGGCCTCGAAAACTAACCTCGACCGTAGCTTCTAAAAAGTATCATAAGTAAAGAAAGTAATTCTCGCGTTGTTTTTCCTTCAGCTTGCCACGTAAATCGCGAGAATTCTCATATTCATTCATTATCAAGCCTAAAATTATCACGCCGCGCTTCTCACCATTTCTCCCACAATCCTAATTAAATAACCCTCTCCATCAAGCAGTATCAAAGCAAAAATCAGTGCGACTTACAACAATTTCAGCTGCCGCCCTGCAATCTGCACACCGCGGCCGGGTCGCGTCGATTCTGGAACTTCTTCGAATTCGCCAGCAAGGACGAAATTCCGACCTCCGAGCAATGCCACGCCAAGGACATGATCCCTCCCGAGCAGATATCATGCGACCTGGACGAAATCTCGAAGACCGCGCCAACGATTCCAACGGTAACAGCGATGACTTCGACGTCCATAAACCCTAGATCGCGCGGACGCCAGCAAAAGCTTCGGGAATCGCTCCCAAATTGCTNTTCATGGCAGTTTTCCCTAAAAATCTGATTATATAAAGATCGAATATCGAGGATAAAATCTGTTAAATAAAATATAAAATCTGTCGACCAGTGGGATCGTCGAAGAGCGGCGAGCACGGGCGAGACGAAGATATGGGAACCGATTCGATCGATCTACGAAGACTGGACAGGAGCGCGAGGCGAGCCCGGCTGGGTAGAGGTCGTGATGCCCCGGGACCCTCACACGAGAATACAGGCCCGGATGACTCGACAGCAATCGACGAGCAAGAAGGTCGTGTTTGGGGTGCGATGCAACAGGCCGCCGCCGCGGATCGTCCGGATAATGGCGGAGGACTTCCGGCGGAAGCAGATGAGAACGCATACCAAGGACTGAAGCTTGGCTGCCCGAGGAACAAACGGAACGGGAAGAAAATTACGAGGAACAGGAATCGCAGAGTCACCTTCGCCGTGTAAATTTTTTACAGAAGACGATAAAATCAACTCTCAGTCACATGAGATAAAGTCACAGAGATTGTCAATAAAGATTATTATCATCGATTGCATCGATTTATTGAAAATGTGATTGTATTAATATTTCTTCTTTTTTAAAAATTAATTTAGTTATTTTAGTGCCGCGAATTACAGTTTATGCGACGCTTCACCGGTTCGTTGTCGGTATTTTCGAACTGAATTAGCGTAAATTGTTCGACGCTATTTTTCTTTATTTCATTTCATTCCATTTTATTTTATTTTATTTTTATTTATCGAATTAATTTATCAATAATAATAGCAATTTAAATAGCAATAGTCGAGAAAATAGGAAAGAACTTTTGTTAAAAATTACTAAATTATTTATCCTTCTATACTTCCGGTAAAGACAGCGTCAAATAGAAATTACAAAAAGGTGTTTTTTAGCAGAAAAAGTCGTCGACATTTAAGATCGAAATATCGAAATATCGAGCGATCGATTCTCGACCAGTGAACATAGCGCAGAAAGAGCATTTCGCGAGTCGATGTCGACAATCGATTCGTCGCTGTTTCACTCGAGCTTCCATTGTTCCCAAAATTCGCTGTCATTTTCGTTCAAAATTATAGATCAAGTATCGTCCTAGAACCCACACACATAACTACCCACACAACCTTTTGAAAATTCCAATTGACCGTGTCAAAATTCGAAGTGGAACGTTGAACAAAATTCGTGTGACAAGATTTCATCCGAATTCAGCGTACAATGAACGGATTCAAGACTTTGGTATTGCAAGATCTCACTCATGTCTTGCCATCGAAGAGCCTCCCGATATCAGCCAAGGTAAACGCATCGTCGTCGCCGATCATTTTTCATTCGAACCAATGACAATAATTATCATATTTTTAAGAAGATGTTATTCGCCACTTTCGTCCGTCGACTCCTTAGAAATATAACCATTATTGATCGATGCCATTTTCAGGCTAAAAATAGAGATACCGTGAGTGGACGATCTCACCCCCATCACCGGGTCGGAGCGTCCACTTGCTAAGGGTGAGAGCGGCCTCGAAAACTAACCTCGACCGTAGCTTCTAAAAAGTATCATAAGTAAAGAAAGTAATTCTCGCGTTGTTTTTCCTTCAGCTTGCCACGTAAATCGCGAGAATTCTCATATTCATTCATTATCAAGCCTAAAATTATCACGCCGCGCTTCTCACCATTTCTCCCACAATCCTAATTAAATAACCCTCTCCATCAAGCAGTATCAAAGCAAAAATCAGTGCGACTTACAACAATTTCAGCTGCCGCCCTGCAATCTGCACACCGCGGCCGGGTCGCGTCGATTCTGGAACTTCTTCGAATTCGCCAGCAAGGACGAAATTCCGACCTCCGAGCAATGCCACGCCAAGGACATGATCCCTCCCGAGCAGATATCATGCGACCTGGACGAAATCTCGAAGACCGCGCCAACGATTCCAACGGTAACAGCGATGACTTCGACGTCCATAAACCCTAGATCGCGCGGACGCCAGCAAAAGCTTCGGGAATCGCTCCCAAATTGCTGGAACAAGCCGGAGACCTTGAAAGAGGACAGCATAATGTCCTTGCTGGACGGTAGCCCCGTCCCGAAGACAATGAAATGGAAACTGACGGGTTACAAGACGCTGCGACGCCAGTCGATCGACGACTTCGCGTTCGTGCCGGGCGGCAAACCGACCGTCGACGTGGACTTCGTCACTGCGACCACGTCCAAACTGCCGAAAAGCAAATCCGCCAGCTTTTCTCGCAAGCCTGCGCTCCGTGCGACCGACAATGAAGCGCGGGACGACATAATAACGACGACGAAAGCGGTCGCGGCGGAAAAACGCGCGCCGATTGCGCTGAAAAGCGAAACCGCGGCGAGCGACGGACCTGTTAGCATGAAAAAAGAGTCGCAGAGGTTCGAACATGAAGATCCGAGTAATATGAAGCCTTCGCCGAAGGCGGAAATTGAGAATTCCGCGCCGGAGCCGGGCTGCGCCTCGAAGATCATTCCTCCGACAGCGAAGCTCTCGATCCCCATGGCGGAAACTATCAAGTTCCTGCCGATCCCGAAGCCGGATCTGCCGATTATTTCGTCGAAGCATCATCAGTCGACGGCTCAGTATTCGTCCCAGCCGTGGGACGGTTCCGATAAGTCCCAAAAAGCACCCCAGAAGGGTGAACAGCGATCAAAGTCGCCCTTCGACAGCCAAGATCCGGAGCATCGAATGGAAACCCTGCCTTCAAACGCGCTCCCTGCATCCCCGCGACAGTTTTATCCCGCGGAGACGACGCAGTCCTCTTGGAAAACGGAGGCGGAACGCGACAATCGCGTTTACCCTGCGGAAACCGCAGTAAACACAGCGTCGGAGTCGCGGTGGCCCAAGCAAAGGCTGTCTTCCGTGCCGGAGGTGGACCTTGACGTCTCCCAGGATCGTGCAGCGACTGTTCCACGGAGTTCTTCTAGGCAAACAGAGGCTGGCAGACTTCAGGAAGAGGACTCGAGGCAGTTCGCGCCGGGTGCATGGCGGCAGACGCGTCCGATCGACGCGACGCAGAGCCGCTATCAGAAGCAGTCGGACTTCAAGAGCATGCAGGGCGTCTACGAATCCATGGGGATCGCAGTTAGGGAGGGTCCGCAGTTGAATATCTCGGCTCCAGAGCCGAGACATCAAGCTAGAACGTCGCCGTGCGCGGCGACCCAGGCCAGGATGCGACAAGATGGCGGGCCAGGCCGCCAGCAAAGCCGGCAGGCCAGGATGCGACAAGATGGCGGCCAGCAGGGCGGCTCTCGCGGCTTCGACGGCGGATCCTCGATGCAGGGGAATGGCGGAGGGTCGAAGAAACCGCCTGCTGCTTTTCCTCCGTTCACCAGCCGACGAGCATCGTCGTCGAACAGCTCCGTAATTAACAAATCTCTTGATTCCGGAGCGACGAAATCTCTTGGTTCTAAGCCGGCGAAGGTCCCAGCGGCGAATATCTCGACGGAGGGTGCGAAATCGGCGCCCAAGGAGCGCGACGAATGCGACCAGATGATCCCTGGCAAGGAGATCTGCACCAAGCCGAGGGAGGACAGGTGCTCGAGGGGAAGGCCGGACGATTGCGGCGGCGGTTGCGACGGCGGTTGCGGCAGGAAGTCGAAGAAACCGTGCAAGCGTTACTGCTGCCCCGCGCTGCAAGTCAATGCAGATTGCGACTGGGCCAGGAGCCAGTGTCCTGGGAAGCAGGGGGTGAACGTTTGCAACGAGAAGGTCGACGGCAGGCCGAAGAACGACCCCACGTGCTTGCCGCCGAGGCCTGAGGACGAGACTTGCAATTTTGGGAGGCCCGAGGCTGCGAGGCAGGCCTGCGATGATCGGAGGAGATGCGGGAGGAGGGAGAATAAGTGCGAGAGGTAGGGATTTTTCTTATTTTGCATTTTGGAATTGGTTTGGAATATTGGGGGATGAAGGGTTGGAGGGAGGATTGTGTGTTGTTCGAATATCATTTTTGGAGAACTGTTTATTATAGAATTTTATTTAGTTAGTTTATTGTAGAATGTTGTAGAATATTGTGGGAGACGAAGGGTTGAAGGGAAGATTGTGTGTTGTTCAAATATAATTTTTGGAGAAAAGTTTATTATAGAATATTGTGGGAGATGAAGGATCGAAGGGAGGATTGTGTGTTGTTCGAATATCATTTTTGGAGAACTGTTTATTATAGAATTTTATTTAGTTAGTTTATTGTAGAATGTTGTAGAATATTGTGGGAGACGAATGGTTGAAGGGAGGATTGTGTGTTGTTCGAATATCATTTTTGGAGAACTGTTTATTATAGAATTTTATTTAGTTAGTTTATTGTAGAATGTTGTAGAATATTGTGGGAGACGAATGGTTGAAGGGAGGATTGTGTGTTGTTCGAATACAACGTTCGACTGGTCTCAGTTTTCTTGAAAACTAGAGTGACCTGTCTATTAAATGAACAATCAAGCTACACATTTGTTAAAATGATCGTTGCTTAACGATCTTAACTTATTCATTAAAAGAAATAGTATTCTCAAATAGCATTTACTTGTGCAAATATTTCAACGTTCACTATCTCGTATCAGATTATATCAAATTTTATATTATTATATTATATTATATATTCTATTATTATATTATATTATATATTATAATATTATACTATATAGTACATATTATATTATGTATTATAATATTATACTATATAGTACACATTATATTATATATTATATTATTATATTATATTAAAGTTTACAAGAGTAACAATTAGCCATTTATCCCGATTTTGAACAAATAAATATAAACACACCTTCACAATATAAACAATCATAAATTAAAAAACTACTAACCCGTCATTTCGACTAAGTTCCCTAAATCCACAATTAAATCCGATCTTCTCTCTCTCTACAATTATCTAGAAGAGAGCGAAGCTGCGACCGACAGTGCAGTCAACGTCAGAGCTGCAGCCGCGAGCGTCGGAGCTGCGAGCGCCGTGAAAGGTCCTGCGAGAAACAGGAGGACCGCGGTCAGGAGGCCCGTGAAATCTGCACGAAACCGCGGCAGCGAAGATCCTGCGAGCGCGACAGAGAGCCGTCGTGCGATCGTCGCAGGACTAATTCCTGCGATCGTCGCAGGACTAACTCGTGCGATCGTCGCAGGGCTAATTCGTGCGATCGCGACCGCGGATCGGCGAAGTGCAACAGAAGGAATTTCACGCAATCGGCGCACACGAGGCGGCCGAGCGGACGCGGACGGGTCGATCGATCCTTCTCGATGACCGCATTAGGCTTCTCGATGCTCGGCGCGAAGGACAGAGAGAACAAGGGTTCTCTGTTCCGCGTGCCGATGGGCCGATTTTACGGGAAGGATGAGGACCCATCGTGCGACAAACCGACGAGTTCCAGGCAGGTGAAGTGCAGGAAGCCTCCGGCCAAGTGTCTGGATAGATCGGCGGAGGGGAAACGCGGGACCGAGACGAAGTGCAAGACCGAGACGAAGTGCGGGACTGAAAGCAAGCGGAAGAAAGAGCAAAAGCTGTGCCGGACGACGTGCGGGAAAGCGGAGAAGAAAGAAAGTTGTGCTTCCGAGGCGAGCGACGGCGATCGGTGCGCTAAACGGAGACAACAGATCTGTAAAAGTAAGCGTTCACGGTAATTTCTCCCGGATTCGCGCTCGGATCGAGCGCGAGAATGGACGATTCGGGGAGAGGAGATACGATTGTTCGATCATTTTATTGGGATTTTATGAAATTTTATATGGAGTTGCAATTTTGGAAATAGAATTGTTCGCGGATTCGCGGATTCTTTGGTCGGCTGCGATTCTTTCAGTATATTTAGTAACGATATTTGATATATATATAACAATATATATAACAATGTAATATAATACAATTATATAGCAATATAATATAACAATATAATGTAACAATATTATATAACAATATTATATAGCAATATAAAATAACAATATTATATAACAATGTTATATGACAATATAATATAACAATATAATACAACAATATTATTATATAATGTTATATAACAACATCATATAACACGATTTATATAGCAATATAATATAATATAACAATATTATATAGTAATATAAAATAACGTAATAACAATAATATATAATAATATAATATAATACAATTATATAACAATATTATATAACAATATATTTTATAACGATGACATAGTATATTTCAAATTATATATCATGTATATATATAATATAAATATTAAAAATATATATTATATATACAGGATGTCCCAAAATTACGGAATTTCCGGTTAATTATCTGTTCCCTCGATCATTTGAAGCAACTTTTTCCTCAGCGAAAATATTCTCCCAGGCTTCGTTCATGACTTATTAACGAAAAACAGCGACCAATGAAAGGCGAGCTCGTTTGGCGCGAGGCGCGGCCGGTCCTCCGAGCGCGCGGACCCCAAATCCGCTGATTGGCTCGACTGCCTAGTGTCAGCCGCGCTCGCCTCTCATTGGTCAAGCGTCTTTCGTTAATAACTCGTGAACGAAACCTCGTAGAACATTTTCGCAAAGGAAAAAGTTGCTCCAAATGACACCAGGAACTCCCTACTCCACATAAATACCATAATTCTGGGACTCCCTGCATACAATACATATATATATAATATATTATTACAAAATATCGTTACAAAATATATTGTTACACAACCCTCCCACAGAAACAATCTAAATTTCCTTACACGTTAAAAACACCGTAATCACATCGCCGCCGACCAAACACGATACACAGTTTGCGAAACAGCTGTCTCGAGCCGAGCGTCGAAGACGCCGGGCGTCCGTGTCAGCGTAACTATTCGCGGTCTGGCAAACGAGAGCGGCTCCCCGTCGTATCACGTTTCCGCGCGCACTTTTTCAACCTAGATCCGGAATACCTAATCGCGTCGTAATCGTTTTTTCATCGATTCCGCGATTTCGCCGCGCCGCGTAGGTGCGAGATCGTCCGCGGAGAAGGAGTCCGAGAGCGCGAAGGACCGCGTGGAAAGGGAGCTGAAGGAGATACAGAACTGCAAGAAACACATCGGCGGCCGTGACAAGGGCCGGGGGAAAGGGGAGAAGAGAGCGGAGCCGGCGAGCGGGTTGCAGCGCGCCGTCAGCCCTTGCAAAAGGAGGTCGAGCGAGGAGACCAGCGGCTGCGGGAAAACCCTTTGCGCCCCGACGAATCGCATCCCCGGCGCGGCGACCTCGTTGTTCGTCAAGCCGGAGAACGATTTCACGTGCAACACTGTTCCCGATCGATTGTTCTCCTCCGCCACGTGGACCAATCGAGCCGATCAGTTCGCCGGGGAGAACGAGCCCGATTTTCGGCGAGACGATCACGCGAGCTTCGCGAGCGACGACAGCGTTTTCGCCGACAGCGGGGCCTTCACCGGCATCCCTCAGCGACAAGAGCATGGCAGCGACGATGTTTCGATGTCCAACAACTGGTTCCTGTCGTGGTTCCAGTGATTCGAAACTGTGACGAAAGGTACGCGCGATTTTCTCGACGAGAGTTCGGCGTTGACTTTAACGCGAGATTTACGGAATGCCGACAAAATGGCGGGTCGCTTATTTCTTTCGTTTTTTTTTTGGATTATTCAATTGTTCATTTACGATTATGTATTGTTTATTTAGCGGAATAAAAATCTGGGGATTAAAATTGGGATTAGGAATTGGAATGAATGGTTTATTGTTTGTTTTATCAGCTGATGTGAGAGCTGCTGTTTTTTTGGGGGGGAGGTCGTGGATCTAGCGTTAACGCTTTGCTGTAGTTTGCGAGTGAGATTTGTTGAGCTTGTCTGTCTAGGTTGTTATTATTATTATTATCGTTATTATTATTACTATCATTATTATTATTATTATTATTATTATTATTAATCTATTATTATTAAATTGATTAAATTAATGGCAAGGCTCTCGATGAGAGAGCCTAGAGAAAGAGAGAGAGAGAGAGAGCCTAAAGAGAGAGCCTAGAGAGAGAGAGAGAGAGAGAGAGAGAGAGAGAGAGAATCTAGAGGGAGAGAGCCTAGAGAGAGAGAGAGCCTAGAGAGTCCTAAAACAAAAACTGTAAACATCGCGTCTTCAACTTAATTTTCATCGAATTTCGAGATTTCTTATTGTCGTCGATCAAAAGCAGAAAATACTGCAAATCAGAAATCGAAATTCGTTTCGATATCGAATATAAAACAGCTTCGACTGCAAAGGGTTAAGAAATAAGCAAACGCCCGAAAAACAAATCGAAATAACTCATCGAGTATCAAATTTACGGCTAACAAGGGTCAATACTTTTCTACTCAGAATTCAATATTCTCCCATAATCCAACACAAAAAACCTACTAATCCATTTAAAAAAAAAACTCAACCCTAAAATCCCCGAAACGCCTCCACCAATAAAAAAAGTAAACGCCCTACACAATGCACCCCTTCGAACCACACATCTTTCGTCTACAAAACTTCTTCCTGCAACGCGTATTTCAAAAGTTACAACAATTACAAGAAATTCCACCCCGTATAATTGGAACGAACCCCATCGCGAACCCGTTCACGCGGCGAAACAGCAAGCAGCAGCGTTTACAAATTAGAAATTGAAGTTCGATGGCGAACTAGAAAAGGCCGACAACGCGTCGATAAAACGTTCGAGGCCGATTTATTGGGTTGGCAACTAAGTAATTGGCGATTTCAGTTATAGATGTCTCTCACTCCCATTTTTATGATATCCGTAAATGTTATATTATAAAATTATTATTATTATTATGTTATTTTTTATTATCCGTGAATGTTAGCAACCGGACAAATTGAATGCAGTGGTCAAGGAAAAGCGACCAGAATTGGTCGATCGTAAAGGTGTGATTTTCCAGCAGGACAATGCTAGGCCGCACACGTCTTTGTCCACTCGGCAAAAATTCATGGATATTGGTCGGGAATCGATGTTACACCCGCCATATAGCCCTGATCTCGCGCCGTCGGATCACCACTTATTTCGATCCCTGGACAACTCCCTTCGTGGTGAAACTTTTAACGACGATGACGCTGTAAAATCTCACTTAACTCAGTTTTCGGCCGAAAAGGATCAGACTTTCTACGAGCGTGGAATTTTCAAGTTGTCAGAGAGACGGCAAAAGGTCGTCGAACAAAATGGAACATACATCACAGATTAAACTTCGTTCCAAGTAAAAAAGAAAATTTTTTATTTCATCGAACAAATCGGCAATTACTTAGTTGCCAACCCGATAGAACAAGAAGCGGCCCGGTTTCCGACAATCCCAAACAAATTGGACCGGAGTTTATTGAACTCCGGGGCGCCCCGGCGGCGGCGGCGAACGGGGGGCTGTCTTTGCACAATGAACGAGGCCGGACAGGGGCGTGCACGTGAATGGAGGGGTAGCAGGAGGTGCAATTATGGGTTTATTCAGGTCTCGCCGCGGGATACACCCGGGGTGCCGTCACCATGGAATTTCTCGTGGCGCGCATATACCTGGCGCCTCTTCTCGGGCCCCCTTTTTACGGGGTCCCCCCCTCCCCCTTGCGTGGCCCTTTTCAACGTGCGTGCCGCCACGGAACAGAGACGGACAGCCGGCGGAAAGAAGGGAAACGCGCGGCGCGAAACAGAGAAAGAGGGTGCGAGGGGAGGGGGGAGGGTGGCGGAGGGGTGCAGGAAGCGCGAGGACGTCTCCGCGGGGATCCCCGCGCTCCGCCACTTATGGGAACGTGATACGGAGCTTTTCGTCGGATGCTCTCTTGCGTTTTCGCATTGTTACGCAACCGTGTCGTCCTCCTCCGGCGTCCCGCGCCCTCTCCTTCCCCCCCTCGTTGTTCTTCTCCTTTTTCTTTTTTGCTTCGTCTTTCTTTATCCGCGCGTCTCCGCGCTGCTCGACAAAGAGAATCGATGTCAATGGCGACACGCTTTGTGTCCCATTGCGTTCTTCGCCGACCGACTCGGAAATGCGCTTGTACGCGCGCGTGGAATTATTGGGACCACCGCTGAGAACCGTTCCGTGCCGAATATCCGAGGTTCGAATGGCCGTGTTTCGTTGTGATTGATAAGAGGACGATTTGATCTGTTTAATAAGAGAGCGGAATAGTTCGTGCGAGATGATCAGATTGAGGATCGTTGGGCAAGATGGAAATTGTCCGCGAATAGTTGCGAGATGCGGGAATCGCGTTGAACAGGCCTCGGAATTAACCGGCACGCGACGTTCAGATCGCGGGTGCCACGCCGACTGGCGTGGGTGCGAACAGGGTTTGCGAGTTATTTTAGTTATTTTAGTTATTTCTAGTATGGGAGTATAGAAATTATATTTTTATATTTCTATATTTTTATATTTCTATGTTTCTATGTTTCTATATTTCTATATTTCTATATTTCTATATTTCTATATTTCTATATTCCTATATTTCTATATTTCTATATTTCTATATTTCTATATTCCTATATTTCTATATTTCTATATTTCTATATTTTTATAATTCTATATTTCTATATTTCTATTGTATATTTCTATATTTCTATATTTCTATATTTCTATATTTCTATATTTCTATATGTCTATATGTCTATATCTGTCTCTTATACACATCTCCAATATCCATGAATTTTTGCCGAGTGGACAAAGACGTGTGCGGCCTAGCATCTGTCTCTTATACACATCTCCAATATCCATGAATTTTTGCCGAGTGGACAAAGACGTGTGCGGCCTAGCATCTGTCTCTTATACACATCTCCAATATCCATGAATTTTTGCCGAGTGGACAAAGACGTGTGCGGCCTAGCATCTGTCTCTTATACACATCTCCAATATCCATGAATTTTTGCCGAGTGGACAAAGACGTGTGCGGCCTAGCATCTGTCTCTTATACACATCTCCAATATCCATGAATTTTTGCCGAGTGGACAAAGACGTGTGCGGCCTAGCATCTGTCTCTTATACACATCTCCAATATCCATGAATTTTTGCCGAGTGGACAAAGACGTGTGCGGCCTAGCATCTGTCTCTTATACACATCTCCAATATCCATGAATTTTTGCCGAGTGGACAAAGACGTGTGCGGCCTAGCATCTGTCTCTTATACACATCTCCAATATCCATGAATTTTTGCCGAGTGGACAAAGACGTGTGCGGCCTAGCATCTGTCTCTTATACACATCTCCAATATCCATGAATTTTTGCCGAGTGGACAAAGACGTGTGCGGCCTAGCATCTGTCTCTTATACACATCTCCAATATCCATGAATTTTTGCCGAGTGGACAAAGACGTGTGCGGCCTAGCATCTGTCTCTTATACACATCTCCAATATCCATGAATTTTTGCCGAGTGGACAAAGACGTGTGCGGCCTAGCATCTGTCTCTTATACACATCTCCAATATCCATGAATTTTTGCCGAGTGGACAAAGACGTGTGCGGCCTAGCATCTGTCTCTTATACACATCTCCAATATCCATGAATTTTTGCCGAGTGGACAAAGACGTGTGCGGCCTAGCATCTGTCTCTTATACACATCTCCAATATCCATGAATTTTTGCCGAGTGGACAAAGACGTGTGCGGCCTAGCATCTGTCTCTTATACACATCTAGATGTGTATAAGAGACAGCTATTATTTCTTGTATAGAAATATGTAGATTATATTTCTATATTTCTACTTTCTATTATTTCTTGTATAGAAATATGTAGATTATATTTCTATATTTCTATTTTCGATTATTTCCAGTATAGAAATATACAAATTATAATTCTATATTTATATATTTCTATCTTCAATTATTTCTAGCATAGAAATACACAAATTATAATTCTATATTTCTATATTTCCATTTCTGATTATTTCTAGTACAAAAATATCCAAATACAATATTTTGTCAAGCCCTCTTTTAATACATAGAGTGTCCCAGCTAAAAAAGGGCTACCTACAATAGCGTGAACAATGACAAAACTCGAAGTAACTTTCACATTTCTACTGATATTTAAACAAAAACCAAAGAAGCTGTACCTGCCCACTTTTATTACATTATCTGTTAATTGTAATATACAAATATACGAATATATTGTTTGTTAAGTTTTGCTAAGTGTTTGTTTAAATATCAGAAAATACATAATAGCTGCTTTGTGTCTATAATTATTCACACCCCACTATACATATATATTTGTGCGAGTGCGGAATTACTACGACAGTGTTATTATAGCGAGAGTATCGCACGCACGCGCACACAGTAGAAACTCTCACCGATAGTGCCAAAGTTTCATAGAGAAACTAACGGATTATATCAGAAGCGAAACTTTAAGATCACAGGCGAACGGGGATGAAGTCTGTCCACCTTTCCATTCTACACCGTGATCACTACAAAGCGACGAACGAGTTCGCAATATAAATAATATATAATAGTAATAGATAATAATAATAAATAATATATATAATATATGATAGTAATAGATAATAATAAATAAATAATGTATATAATATATGATAGTAATAAATAATATAAATGATATAAAATACTAATAAATAGTATAAATAATATATAACAGTAATAAATACTAATAATGGATAATATAAATAATATGTAATAGTAATAGATATAATAATAATAAATAATATATAATATATGATAGTAATAGATAATAATAATAAAAAATATATATAATATATGATAGTAATAGGTAATAATAATAAATAATATAAATGATATAAAATACTAATAAATAATAATAATAATAAATAGTATAAATAATATATAACAGTAATAAATAATTTTTGGAGCATCTTTGACTCAAGAAAACCCATCCAATTTTTAATCCTTCGACTCACGAGTCCGAGGAACCTCCCCTAGGGAATTCTAGCGTTAACAGAAGCGTCGTTTCTCTCTTCTTTTCTTCTTCTTTACCTCGCGCTCCTCGCATCGAATCGATGTCGAAAGCGGCGCTTTGTCCTCCCTGGTACGCTTCCGTCTTGTATTCCTTCTTTTAACTCGCAATTATCGATAGCCCCGCAGAGAACATCCGCCGAACGACAACGAATTTCCCAGTTGTAACAACAAATATCCCGTGGCGGCCGATAAGAGGACACCGACGACACACGCCTCGACGGCCGTCCGAAAAGCGACGTCGTCGTCGCAGGTACGAAGAGCCGCTCTTCTCTTTAATGAGCCAACGAGTTATGGTGTTGACACAGTCGGAGGCTTTTGAGCAAGTTGTCATCGGGAAGATCGAACGGTTGATTTCACGGCTCGGCCCGAGCAGAAGCCCCCGAAATCTAGACGTCACATTACGATGTCGACGACTTCTTCCTGGACCACAAAACCACTCGCTCGGGTTCGTGCGTCCGGGATGAATGGCGACGCCACGGGTGGCACCCCGTCGCCCTGAGCCGCACACAACCGCTGGAAACGTGTCAATTTTGTCAGGATCGTTCAGGCCTGAATGGGAGAAGCGTCGTCGCTGGGGCCAGACGCGTCCGCGGCATTATCTGTTCGACTGCTCCGATCGTGGCTCGGTTCACAGATTCTTCTCGTCTTCGGTCTAGGAGCTCGTTTCCTCGGTTATTAACAGCTTCGGCCGATTGATTGTGGTTAAATCGCTAATAGAAGCAACGATGTCGATTAATAATCGATTGTTCACTTAGTCAAAATTGAGAAACTTAGTCGAAATTTGTTCCACTTTTATCGCTAAGAAGTTACTAAAAATCTGTTACTGAAAACTAGAGGCTATTTATTACAATTTATTTGTTATTG